AGGGTGCAAATGTTCCCTTTTTTTATTTAATTATTTTAATTGTGTTATTTGGGAAAATATAAATTTATTATTTCATGTTTTTAAAATTGATCAACATATGGTCAAAGTCAATTTTTCTGATCAACCGATGATCAAATGGATGAAAACTATCCAGTTGTCCTTTAGTTGCAATCAATTAAAAGGTTTGAGACTGTCATTATCACGAATAAAAAGTTAGGGTAAAAGTTGCAATAGAGCAAAAGGTTTGCAACCACATCTACAACTTTTCCTAATTCATAATGCATAATGAGTTTGCAACCACATCTACAACTTTTCCTAATTCATTTAGCTTAATTCATAATTATGCAACCAATTCCCATTTTGTCCTTCACAAATTTTGGTTCCTATATTACTGAAGATCTCTCTAGTACTGGTTATTAAGGTTGAACTAATATTTTTCGCTCTTATAAAGCATCAGATCAATCACACAAGATCCAGTAAATAAAATTTGTCTTGATCATCGAATAATGATAATTAAATAATTTTCTTAATAGAAAAAAATATATACGTAAAAAATTTCAGTACACAAGATATTCGAAAGAAATAAATATTTCGCTGTTATAAAGTTTCGGATCGATCACACTAGTAAATAGAATGTCTTAATCGTCAAATAATGATAATTAAGTAGCTTTTCATAATAAAAAAAAATGTTAGGGCACAAGGGGTAGATGACACCATTCGATCTTACTCGGTAAGACGTGGATGCTAGCCGGTCCCAAAATTTTTTGAATTGTGTGTTTTGTGACTTAGCATGTGACTATGACCAATAAATTATGTGGTATATATGTGACTACGATATGTTTACTTTCAATTATCGGTCACAATAGTGACCTTTGATTTTTTTTTTGAATATGAAACACATATCATTGAACATCGCAATAACCAACGGTACACGGAGGAAAAACCTCCAACACAATGCCCTGCCAAAAGGGGTAAACGTGCGATCTAAGCCGAAGCTCTAGCTATTACA